CCCTTTTCCAAGCAGACATTCCGGAGACTTTTGGATGAATGTAAAAATACTTGCAAATGTGGCATGGTGTAACGAAATTTTGTAGTGAGATGTCATAAATTTTCTGGACATATTGGTAAGCATTACATGATGTGCTCATTGCCAAAAAATTGAAGTTAAAGAAAACTGGAGAGCAATTAGGTCACAGTAATCAGTACTCTCTATATTTCTTTCATTTTTGATAATGTCGTCAGTTCAGGCCAATGCCATTCGCGACTTTATTGCTTACGACAGCAGCATATTTAATGAAACCTTGAGGACTAGAAAGTATGCCAAGGTAATTTCACATATGGGTTTGCTGAAATCAGCGCTTTCCAAACAAGAGTCTTTGAAATTCAGTTGAATTTCACGGCAAAAGACTCGTATTACGATATCGTCAAATCGCTCGAACTTTGGATACAAGATAGAGCATTTCACAGGTTAGAGGAAACCAACACTAGGGACACATTCGAAGCATCTGTGACTGAAGTCAACGCATTTTACGACAGCAATCAGAACCAGATAGGTTTGCAAGAAGAGGTTATTCATGAAAATCCCACATAATCAACTGGGCTTTTTAGCATTGATGGCTGGCATGCTACAGTCTCCATTTTTCAATGCTTCACTGCCCAGGTTTGCTAGAACTTCCGCAAAATTGGGAAATAAATAATGTGAAGTAATCTCTGCCTTTAGGATAATGAACTATGGTGCTATCGGAGTTGTTGCTGGACATGAGATCACTCATGGATTCGATGATGCCGGTACAATACAATTCGCACCTACCTTGAAAATCAAAAATTCATTGTGATTTAGGAGCATCGTATGACGAAGTTGGCAATAGGAATAATTGGTGGGATGCAGATACTTATAGAAACTTTGAATGGAAAAAGACATGCTTTGATGAACAATATGGAAGTATAGCTGTAGAGGATTTACATGTCATGGTATGTTTTTACCTTCCTCTCCAATTTGGGTGGATGTTCAGCTTTTATTTTGGCTTAGATTGACGGTAGAAGAACCGAAAGCGAAAACATAGCTGATAATGGCGGAATGCGAGCTGCCATAAAGGTGTGTGCTTGATATAGTTAGGTTTCCCAAAACTAATTTTTCAAGAAATCAAGATGTTTTTGTTTTCCTAGCAGGCTTAGGCTATCATTCGATAGAACAAAGCAAGCCCCATAAAATGACCCCTAGAAATCCGCCTAAATAAATCTAGGTGAAGATAGAGCCAAAATTTTTTATCACCAGAAAATTGGATTTTTTTGATAAAATTCTACAGTT